GTTGGCCACCGAATTGGGTCAGTATCAATAATTCAAAATCTCACAAGACATTTATGGAAAACATAGAGTAGGTGGGCTAACTCGTGAAATGTCAACTAAAATTCAGGAATGCGCTTGCGTTTCTAGAAGATTATTTGGTAGGGCTGCAAAACCTAGAAAACCATGTATGCTTACGATTTTAATCTCGAAAACCCTAGAGAATTGTGTAGTTTTCCAAACGCGAAAAATATACGGCTTGTAGTCTGGAAACCCTGACTGCAAGTGTAACGGCAGGTCGCGTTCAAAATTATTCGATAATTGGAAAAGTTATCTATAACTAAATGATACCATTCCTTCGGGTATGAAATTGGAAGAAGACGCAATTTTCTACAGAACGATCAAAAGAACTAATATTTGTATGCGTATTTTCCATTTCATATAATTGAATTTTGTCGATGTTTAAAGTGGACTTTGTATATTCCTCCACCGACGACAGTTGGTTGCAGGCCAGCGTAATGTCAGTAACAATACTTGCACCGAAAATAAGAGCGAAGAAGTCCAGTCTCTGCTTCATACACTCTTCGATCGTGCACCTTTCGGTGTTCGGTAGTACTCGAATAATAATCCCTTACGGCCTAGCCTTAGGATAATGTCATTTCGACCCACATGCATCGGATGCTCAGTAGTTTTCCACCACTTTGACAAGGCATACCGATTCCAGATCACTTCTTTTCGGAAGGGCGATGAACACGAGGGTCAAAAAGGGTTGATGTAAGTTTCTGAGTGACCTTGAATAATCTGATTAGAACTGCAGTGCATAAGTTGGGTTCTGGAGCGGGATTTGCAACTGTGACCGGTCCCCGTCACTGCTCCGCCCCCCGTCTTAATTTCGGGACTCTGGCGCCGCGGCCTCAGGCGGCGTCGTCACGACGGCTCCTGGCCCTAATCCACGTCACCGTACCCTCCGCCCACACCCTAGACGCATTGACCTGCAGTCGCTCGAATGGCTTCAGCACGCATATGCAAACGTTCGTCTAGACAATCACTGTCATCCCTGCATCACGTGATTTAACACAACCAGCTTGAACACTGGCAAACGTGTCCTGGCACTAAAGCAGGCATAGATGCAGACGAAAGCATCTTCCCTACCTCTTCGGCGTGACTTAACCGCGACCGTGACCAGCACAGAATAAGTGCCTTACAACCGCCTGCTAATTATGAGATTACTTAAGACCACTCGACACCTATTAATACAGCACCGTACATCTCCTTTTGTCATTGCTCCTCATGAAATGTACAACATAGTCCGCATCCACTGCAAAATTATATCGAATCTATATGGTATCTGTTTAAATGCATAGAAGAATATATGATTCTGCTTGAGCGGAACGCATGCACCTTGTAGACTGAAATAATTAAATGCTATTGCAACGGCTAATCAGGCTCCAAATTATTCGGGAATGGAAAAAAATTCTTAAAGTCTAAGAACACCGTCTTTGAGTATAAAATATGAAGACAACGTAATTTTAAATCAAACGAGTAAAGGAAAACATGCATACTTTTTTTCATGTTTTTTATAAATTATATCTGAATATCTAAGACCACCGCAAATCAATAGGAAAAATGCATGCTACTTAATAGTCATTTTTCATCGAGTAAGGTTACGATTGAAAACCGAAGATGAGTGCAATCAAAAGCAGACATCTTGTAGAGTCCGACATATTATGGGATTATGCCGCATGAAAATATGTATGAGAACCCCACTTAAGTCATCCTTCATAGTCGGATACGCATTTTGGGATTTCGGCTAACATTTCATGAGATCGGTCAATCACTGTACCTCACATCCGCCCGCTAAACGAGACTCAGCCTGCCGACTGCAACGCACCATTTCCTGATCCCTGTACAATCCATGGGCTGCTGCCGAGATTAGGAAATGAGGTTAGCAAACGTAAGAGATCAGGTTCGATAATCTGAGAAAAGTGAATTGCCCACCGGATCAAGAGGATTGCATTGCTGATGTCTCGGAGAGCTTGGAGAGCTCTCCATTATCGAAGCGGTAAGTGCAAAAAATCTGACAGAATTTTGAGAAGACGGTCGAATTAGTTGGACTTGGGCTGATCGATGTTTTACTTCGCTGCCTTTGCCTACTGGCGGTCGTTTGTGAATGCTGGTGGACTCCTGTGTTGTGTGAGGTCATCTCAATTGGGGTCGGTTGTTACTGTGTTCCCCTTTTTGGGTGAATTAGTGGACGGGCCGAGATTGTCCTGTACTATTGAGTTCCGTGTGACCGCCTTGTCCTGGACTCAGAGAAACATGAGACCTCATCTTCGAAATAACTGAAAGTCAACGAAAAAGTCAGTAAAGATTGTGACTTTGAGCAAAATGATTACATGCTCTAATACGTTACCGTTTCAAGGAGCGCCGTAATAATGCGTTTCGTAAATTGAAGTGTAAAACATAGTCCGTAACCTTTGCAAAAGTCTATAGACTCTATATGATATATTTTTAAAGACATAGAAGAACATGTGATTTTCTTCAGGCGGAACGCATGCACCTTGTAAACTGAAATCTTTAGGCGTTAATGCAACGACCGATCAGGCTCCAAATAATTCGTTAAATAGAAAATTTTTCAAAACTTAATGATACAACTTTTGCGTATAAAATACAAACATGACGTGATTCTCTATCAAATGACTGAACGAAAGCATATTTTTGTTCGTGCTTTCTATAAAATATATTTGAATTTGCAAGACCATCAAAACTCCATTGGTAAGATGCGTGCTACTTAAGAATTCGTTCTTTTACCATGTACGGTTTCTACAGGAGATTGAGAAGCAGTATATTCAAAAGCTGACATCCTGTGGAGTCGGAAATATCATTGGATTAGGCCACAAGATAATCAATATTATAACCGCGACTAAGTAATCCTTCCAAATCAAAACCGCATTTCAAAATTTCAGCCAACATTTCATGAGATCGGTCACTCACTGTAAATGCTTTACCTCGGGGCCCTAACTGGTGTTTCGATGGTCTCCTTGACAGCGTGAGGCATCTGCTGGGTTCTGATTTCGTCAGAGAGTCCCTCAACCGTCCCCATTCGGCTTCCAGTATAGCTCTGGTTCACAAGGCATGTAACAAGTAAAAGTACTGACATCGGCCGGCAGAAACTTTGGAATATGGTAGAGGGACGCTTACCGATCCTTCTTACGGATTTCACTCGTCCCGTTGTGCCTTACTGGCTCTCTCTCGAGCCCAACTAGCAGCTGCACAGTGGCGCATGACATAGGCAGTATGTTCTGGACTATCTACTGAAATAGCCCACATTCCCCTTCTCTGCTTACGTAATCAGTTTAGCAGAACATGGCAGGCCTTCTGATGAGGTACCTCCAAATGCGAACGGACTCCGTAACTTAGAGTAAGCATGCTTGCTTATTTCCGAAGTGTGCTAAAGATGTGGAAAAGTAACTTTTTCCAATCTGACCGAGGAGATGTGCTGCACACTGCGCAAAGCTCTTGTCACCTCCATTTAACAGCAACCAGTTCACTGATGATATACTGAATGTTGACCAAAGATCTGTGCCTCATTCTGTTCGTGTGCTTTCACAAATTAACGTTACTCAGACGACGGAACCTTTCTCGTTTTTGGTACTCTCGCCATCCTGAAATAAATACTAATTTCGTACCGACGTGATACCGCTCCTATTATGTCTTTCGTGTAAAAATAAGTATTTTGATGGGACAACCTTGACCGATTTTGAGGTATTGGGAACCTTTAGTGAATACAACCAAGTTTACACTTCCGCCTTGCCAACTGTTACCTGTTAAACTACTGACAAATGTTGCCTTGGGAAGTGTAAAATGATAGTGCAGGTAGAGTTGGGCGTCGGAATTGATAGACTGCACAAATTGTGGTTTTTCAACTCCCTGATCGACACTTTTGGCACTGAATATATACTCGAGGCCCTAGACCGTACAATCCCCGAGTTAAGAGTGACATTAAAAGAGTGAAACCATAGGCGTGCTTTTCAGCATGTTGAAAGTAAACTATTTTTTCATTTTTAAACAGTCATAGTGTCCTCCCTTCGCTGTTGGATAGAAATTACTGTGGAAACCTCCCGAAATTCTTCAATTTCTTGTGCAATATAATAGTTAAAAGATAGAAAGGTGCTATCAATAAAAACCTGGAACGACCAGATGAGGCTTGTCTGTCACTAAGACCTACCCACCGGACAGATCTAAGCAAGAGGAATCTGCTGATGGAACGCAGGCTCTTTGGTTGATCCACCAAAGTCTGTAGGTTCTGGCATAGACAGTCTGCCAACTGCAGCAGGGAATATTGCAAGTCCGCAAGAGTGCCGTTCAACTTGTCGCCAAAGGAGCTGACGGAGGAAAAAATGCAGGTATTACGGCATGAGGCCTCATTCAACACAGCCGATTCAAAACCTGCCAACATGAGTCCAGCTGAGGTCATTGTGCTTGTTGATGGATTGCGAACCTGAAAACCATGACTCGAACAGCTCGCGGCTTACGCGGTTGTCACCTCTTGCGAGGATTTCGGCCTCTTGAAATTTGAAAATATGGCCGGGTCCCGTCAAATGTGCCGGCACTTGAGAGCTAGCGTCTCCCCGCCTCAATGCTGCTGCATGCTCGACAATTCGCGTACGGATTAATCTCCCAGTTTCTCCGACATAGTTGCTTTTTCCGCAACTAAACCAGATCTGGTAAACGACTCCAGAGGTTTCCTGCCGTGGCAGCGGGTCTTTCGGTCTCATGACTTGGCGCCTAATGGTTGCTTCCGGCCTGTGCACATCCCCAGTTCCAAGTGGAGTGAGAAGAAAACTGACGGCTTCCGAGACGTTCTTCAAGTACGGAAGAGCCCGCCAAAATTGACGGCCGGTTGGATTTGGTCTCTTGTGCTGTTTTCGTATGCACTGGTTGACAAAGTTGCGCGGGTAACCATTGGAGCTCATTAGCCGTCGAAGATATTGTAATTCAGCAATCTTGTCTTCCATTTCACTTCATTGCGTCTCAAGGCGCCGGAATGGCGCCCATACACAATTTCGATTGTGACTGATCGGGTGGCTGCTGTTGAAGTTCAGTATTTGCGTCGTATTTGTCGCTTTCCTGAAAACTTTGGCTTTTGGGCCACTACAATCTTTGCGGCAGACGAGGACATCCAGGAAGGCCAGCTGTTTGTTCTCCTCCACCTCCATCCTAAATTGAATGTCCGGGAAGACGGTGTTGAGATGTTCTTTGAATGTCAGCACCTGATTCCATTCGATGACGGCGAAGGTGTCATCCACATACCGAGCCCAGAATTTCGGTCTGTGGTGTCGGAAAAACACCGACTGCAGCCATTGAAGGACCGCCTCGGCTATGAGTCCCGAAATCGGCGAACCCATTGGCGTTCCCTTCACCTGCTCGTAGATTGTTCCGTCGAACGTAAAGTACGTCTTGAGACAGAATTTCAGGAGCTGAATGATTTGGGCTTGTCCGAGAAGATTCTCCGCCTCGTCGTTTTTCTCCCGTACGCGTAGTTCGATGGCCTCGACTGCCAGGTCCTGCGGGACAGAAGTAAAAAGGGACGTGACATCAAATGAAACCATGATATCGCTTGGCAGGAGACTTACTCCTTTAAGTTTCTCCAAGAATTGCGTTGACGAGGTGACTGTGGTGTTTGAATCGGAGGTCAGAAACTTGAGACGTTGGAACAGCCACTTTGCCAGTCCCTAGGTTGGAGTGTCATTTAGTGATACGATTGGCCGGAGAGGAGCGTCCTCTCTGTGTACTTTTGGGAGAGCGTAGAATCGGGCTAGGGTCGTTTCTTGTGCTCTCGCCATGCGTCGCTTAATTGGCGTTATTACACCTGAGTTCTCCATTGCTAACAGTTCCGCGTTAATCTCGCGTGTCAGCGTTTGTATGGGGTTAGATTCGTATGGGACATAGGACTGACGATCCTCCAACAAACTTTTGACATTCTGATCGTAGACTGTCCTGCCCAATACCACCGTGGAACACCCCTTGTTCGCAGGCCCGATAACCAGGTCGTTCTCGGCCCTGAGGTCCCTAAGTGCATGGCGCTCGACCTTGGAAAGCACGTCGCAAGGCCTATGAGCCATGAGAAGGGAAGACACTTGGTGTTAAATGATGTTCTTCCTTTCTTCTGTCGCACCCGTTTGGCTGACGATTGATTCTACTGCTGGACTCATGTTGGCAAGTTTTGAATCGGCTGTGTTGAATGAGGCCTCATGCCGTAATACCTGCATTTGTTCCTCCGTCAGCTCCTTTGGCGACAAGTTGAACGGCACTCTTGCAGACTTGCAATATTCCCTGCTGCAGTTGGCAGACTGTCTATGCCAGAACCTACAGACTTTGGTGGATCAACCAAAGAGCCTGCGTTCCATCAGCAGATTCCTCTTGCTTAGATCTGTCCGGTGGGTAGGTCTTAGTGACAGACAAGCCTCATCTGGTCGTTCCAGGTTTTTATTGATAGCACCTTTCTATCTTTTAACTATTATATTGCACAAGAAATTGAAGAATTTCGGGAGGTTTCCACAGTAATTTCTATCCAACAGCGAAGGGAGGACATTATGACTGTTTAAAAATGAAAAAATAGTTTACTTTCAACATGCTGAAAAGCACGCCTATGGTTTCACTCTTTTAATGTCACTCTTAACTCGGGGATCGTAGGGTCTAGGGCCTCGAGTAGAGATTCAGTGCCAAAAGTGTCGATCAGGGAGTTGAAAAACCAAAATTTGTGCAGTCTATCAATTCCGACGCCCAACTCTACCTACACTATCATTTTACACTTCTCAAGGCAACATTTGTCAGTAGTTTAACAGGTAACAGTTGGCAAGGCGGAAGTGTAAACTTGGTTGTATTCACTAAAGGTTCCCAATACCTCAAAATCGGTCAAGGTTGTCCCATCAAAATACTCATTTTAACACGAAAGACATAATAGGAGCGGTATCACGTCGGTACGAAATTAGGATTTATTTCAGGAAGGCGGGAGGACCCAAAAACGAGAAAGGTCCTGTCGTCTGAGTAACGTTAATTTGTGAAAGTGCACACTGTAGTCACGGGCAAACATGTAAGTAAATAAAGTAGCGTTGGCATAGCAACGACTGAAAAGGTCTTTTATACAATTTCCGAACTGAATGAGGCACAGATCTTGAATCAACACTCAGTATATCATCAGTAAACGGGTTGCTGTTGAATGGAGGTGTATAGAGCCGTGCGCAGTGTGCAGCACATCTCCTCGGTCAGATTGGAAAAAGTTACTTTTCCACATCTTTAGCACACTTCGGAAATGGGCAAGCATGCTTACTCTAAGTTACGGAGTCCCTTCGTATTTGGAGGTACCTCATCGGAAGGCCTGACATGTTCTGCTAAACTGATTACGTAAGCAGAGAAGGGGAATGCCGGTTACTTCAGTACATAATCCATAACAAACTGCCTATGTCATGCGCCACTGTGCAGTTGCTAGTTGGGCTCGAGAGAGAGAGCCAGTAAGGCACAACGGGACGAGTGAATTCCGTAAGTAGGATCGGTGAGCGTCCCTCTACCATAGTCCAAAGTTTCTGCCTGCCGATGTCAGTACTTGTACTTGTTACATGCCTTGTAAACCAGAGCTATACTGGAAGCCGAATGGGGGTGGTTGAGGGACTCTCTGACGAAATCAGATCCCAGCAGATGCCTCACGCTGTTAAGGAGACCATCGAAACACTAGCTAAAACCCCGATGTAATTCATTTACAGTTAGTGACCGATATCGTGATATGTTGGCTGATATTTTGAAATGCGTTTTTGATTTGGAAGGATTACGTAGTCGCGGTTATAATATTGATTATCTTCTGGCCTAATCCAATGATATTTCCAACTCGACAGGATGTCAGCTTTTGAATATACTGCTTCTCAATCTCCTGTAGAAACCGCACATGGTAAAAGAACGAATTCTTAAGTAGCACGCATCTTACTAATGGATTTTTGATGGTCTTGCAAATTCAAATATATTTTATAGAAACCACGAACAAAAATATGCTTTCGTTCAGTCATTTAATAGAGAATCACGTCATGTTTATATTTTATACGCAAAAGTTGTATCATTAAGTTTTGAAAAAGTTTCTATTAGGCGAATAATTTGGAGCCTGATCGGTCGTTGCATTAACGCCTAATGATTTCAGTTTACAAGGTGCATGCGTTCCGCCTGAAGAAAATCACATGTTCTTCTATGTCTTTAAAAATATATCATATAGAGTCTATAGACTTTTGCAAAGGTTACGGACTATGTTTTACACTTCATTTTACGAACCGCATTATTACGGCGCTCCTTGAAACGGTAACGTATTGCAGCATGTATTCGTTTTGCTCGAGTCATAGTCTTTACTGACTTTTTCGTTGACTTTCTGTTATTTCGAAGATGAGGTCTCATGTTTCTTTGAGTCCAGGACAAGGCGATCACACGGAACTCAATAGTACAGGGCAAGCTCAGCCCGTCCACTAATTCACCCAAAAGGAGAGCACAGTCGCAACCGACCCCAATTGAGATGACCTCACACAACACAGGAGTCCACCAACATTCACAAACGACCGTCAGTAGGCAGGGGCAGCGAAGTAAAACATCGATCAGCCCAAGGCCAACTAATTCCGCCGTCTACGCAAAATTCTGTTGGGCTTTTGCACTTAACGTTTCGATAATGGAGCGCCCTCCGAGCTCTCCGAGACATCAGCAATGCAATCCTTTTGATCCGGTGGGCACTTCACTTTTCTCAGATTATCGACCCGGATCTCTTACGTTTGCTAACCCCATTTCCTAATCTCGGCAGCAGCTCATGGATTGTGCAGGGATCAGGAAATGGTACGTTGCAGTCGGCAGACTGAGTCTCGGATGTGAGGTATACTGAGTGACCGATCTCATGAAATGTTAGCCGAAATCCCAAAATGCGTTTCCGACAATGAAGGATTACTTACGTGGGGTTCTCATACATATTTTCATGCGGCATAATCCCCTAATATGTCGGACTCTGCAAGATGTCTGCTTTTGATGGCACTCCTCTTCGGTCTTCAATCGTAACCTCACTCGGTGAAAAATGACTATTAAGTAGCATGCATTTTTCCCATTGATTTGCGGTGGTCTTAGATATTCAGATATAATTTATAAAAAACATGAACAAAAGTATGTTTTCCTTTACTCGTTTGATGTAAGATTACGTTGTCATCATATTTTATACTCAAAGACGGTGTGTTCTTAGGCCTTAAGAATTTTTTTCAATTCCCGAATAATTTGGATCCTGATTAGCCGTTGCATCAGCGCTTAGTGATTTCAGTCTACAAGGTCCATGCCTTCTGCTCAAGCAGAATCATATATTCTTCTATGCCTTTAAACAGATACCATATAGATTCGATGCAATTTTGCAATGGATGCGGACTATGTTGTTAATTTCATGAGGAGCAATGACAAAAGGAGATGTACGCTGTTGTATTAATGGGCATTGAGTGGTCTTAAAGAATCTCATAACCAGCAGGCGGTTGTGAGGCACTTATTCTGTGCAGGTCACGGAGGGGAGGCAATATCTCAGGTGCCAGTGCCCGCTACGGTCGGGGTTAAGTTATGCCGAAGAGGTAGAGAAGATGCTTTCGTCTGCATCTATGCATGCTTTAGTGCCAGGACGCGTTTGCTAGTGTTCAAGCTGGTTGTGTTAAATCACGTGATGGAGGGATGACAGAGATTGTCTAGACGAACGTTTGCCTATGCGAGCGACTGCAGGCCAATGCGTCTAGGGTGTGGGCGGAGGGTACGGTGACGTGGATTAGGGCCAGGAGCCGTCGTGACGACGCCGCGTGAGGCCGCGGCGCCAGAGTCCCGAAATTAGGACGGGGGGCGGAGCAGTGACGGGGCCGGCCACAGTTGCTAACCCCGCTCCAGAACCCAACTTATGCACTGCAGTTCTAATCAGATTATTTAAGGTCACTCAGAAACTTGCTTCAACCTTTTTTTGACCCTCGTGTTCATCGCCGTTCTGATAAGAAATGATCTGGAATCGGTATGCCTTGTCAAAGTGGTGGAAAACTACTAAGCATCCGATGCATGTGGGTCGAAATGACATCATCCTAAGGCTAGGCCGTAAGGGATTATTATTCGAGTACTACCGAACACCGAAATGTGCACAATCGAAGAGTGCATGAAGCAAAGACTGAACTTCTCCGCTCTTATTTTCGGCGCAACTACTGTTACTGAAATTTCGTTGGCCTGCCATCAACCGCCGTCGGTTGAGGAAGATACCAACTTCACTGGAAACATCGACAAAATTTGTCACGTAGCAACTGATGGATTCTGCGAGTAGGAAAAGGATCTTAAAAATGCTTGGCAGCTATGGCATTTTTTGTCGTCTTAATTCGAATGTTATTCGTTGTGTTTTCAAGTCTGCTGCACTGGAGCAATATATACAGGTTTATCTCGTGAAATGTTAACTATAGTAAGTGGGCTAACTCATGAAATGTCAACCGAAATTCCGAAATTAGTTTTCGTCTCAAAAATATTCATTAAGTTGGGCCGTAAAACTGATCATCGTGAGACATAATTCTATAATAATTCAGTCACCTCGAGA